ATTTCATTTTGATCCTATTATTTATTTGGTTATCATTCTTTATTAATTTCTTCATTCATTAATGACATGTGTATGTAAATATATTATCCCAAGACTTAACACATTTATGTCAATAAAACAGTTTAAATTGTACAACTTTTTGTCTCTTGACACAGAATGCCCCGCCCACTTTGAAAAAAAAGTAAAATATATCCAACCTCTACAGAAAGGCCACCTTTATATAGTGGTCACTTTAGCCTGGTCCCTTGGGTGACCACTATACACAGGTTTGACTGTACAATTATTTACAATGTTTCATAGTCCAAAAAATAAAATTACCAATCAGTTATAGCACAATAGAAAAATAGATTGATTTGTGAATAAAGTAAATTTGATTTAAAACTATAAACATAATGTAATTATAGTGACAATTATTGTAAAACTATCAGCCATAATAATTGTAAATGTATTGACAGTCATAACACTTTTTGTTAAATCAAATATAGCAATAGATAAGCCATTGTATCAACTCTATTAATTTGAATGTCTGTTTTCTTTCTAGTTTCAGCTAAGCTGAAATGCCGTGAAGTGATTGTCACAGGACCACGTGGTACTCTTAGAAAAAATTTCAACCACCTCAATATTGAACTGACGATGTTAGGCAAGAAGAAAGTTCAAGTACAGAAATGGTTCGGTAACCGCAAAGAGCTGGCATGTGTGCGTACAGTGTGCAGCCACATTGAGAACATGATAAAGGGAGTGACATTGGTAAGTTTTAACCTCTTATGAAAATTTGGTTTTTGATACCAAATTTTGTTTTATTTGGCACTTCATTTAAGTGCACTGTATAAGGCCCAAAACGCACAAAAAGATTTGTTAGACAATGAGATTTAGGAAAGTTTCTTATGGAGACTCAATATTTAACAGCACATGCATCTTGGGTCAGACATATCCCAGATTACTCTGGCTTTATACTATGCACAGCTGCCAATGTACTGTGGAATACTTTATTTTTGCTGGAATTAATTTTCGCTGAAAAGGCTTTTTGAGCGTTTTGCTTGGAATTTATTTTCACTGATTTTTGATGAGTTTAATGTGAAATATAGGAAAAAAAGTATATTGGCTTGATTTTATTTTCACGGAATCATCCCTTCAGCGAAAATAAATTCCAAGTGAAAATAAAGTGTTCTACAGTAATTTAGTATGTCCCTCCAAACAATTGTAAGTGACCCAAAGAGGGGTGTACACAATTGAAATGGAGAAGGGGTGCTAGAGGGACAGGGTTAGGATTCAAGTTATGGCAATGGAGCCCTAAAGAACTACCGTAAAAACCCTCAAATAAGAGCCACTTTGTAACACTTTCATTTCTGGGTGGTGCTTATTTGAGGTAACATTTTGACAACTTTGTAGCCAGTGGCTCTTAAACCAGGGTGATCAAACTTTTTCATTGTGAAATGGGGAAGGGATAGGCAAACACACACACAACCAAAACAGACAAATAAT